GTGTGTTTCTTTTTGATTTAATGCAAAAAGAATTACTTAATAGAAAGAGTTAAGGTTTTTTTTTTTTTTTTTTTTTTATACAAATATTTTTTGTAGGCCCGTGCTGGAGCAGATGTGGTAAGCCCGAGTGACATGATGGATGGGCGTGTAGGGGCAATTCGGTCAGCTCTTGATGCTGAAGGCTTCCAGAATGTTTCTATCATGTCATACACTGCAAAGTAAATTTTCTAATCTACCTTATTTATACAGAATTTGATTTCCTCTAAATATTGTTCCCAAAAAGGTTGGATCGAAAATTTCCCTAGAAAGCTTGTCCCAACAAAAAAGGACGAGACATGACTTGGCAAGCTTTTTAGTGCTATTTTTGAAAAAACAGGACGAGAAGGGCATTTGCGTCTTTTCGACAACCAAGAGATGGAGAATGACAAGCTTTTCTATGTTTTTTTTTGTTGGGTATAGGTATGCAAGCTCATTTTATGGCCCATTTCGAGAAGCTTTAGACTCAAATCCACGTTTTGGAGACAAGAAAACGTATGTTATGTTTTTCCTTTTTGATTAACTTTTTTTTTAGGGTTAAATGCAAGAAAGAGCAACATAGTTCCATTGATTTGTTTCTTATAGAATCATACTTACAACATTGTACTTTAAAGATCCACCAAATCATAGCAATGCCATCCAAAAAGTAATTTTCACTGCTATAATCCTATAGATTTGTTAAAGTAAATGTCCTAATAAGAAAAAAAAACATATAATAAGTGCAATGCTATATTTGGGTATTTAGCCCTTTTCTTCTTTATATGATTAAAGTGTATTTATTCTGTGTGGCATTTTTGCAAAAGTTACCAAATGAACCCTGCAAACTATCGAGAAGCGCTGATCGAATTGCGTGCAGATGAGTCTGAAGGGGCCGATATCCTTCTGGTTGGTTTTTTCTAAATGCATAAAAAGCAATGTACTTTCATTCACTTGTTTATTATAGAAAGTGCATTCCCATTTCTTGCATTTAATTGAGATTGTGTGACACAGGTAAAACCAGGCTTACCATACTTAGATGTGATAAGGTTGCTCAGAGATAACTCTCCACTTCCAATTGCTGCATATCAGGTAGTTTTAGTCAGATCCCATGTTTTCTTTTTTCCATTAAATGAGGGGGCAAATTTCTAAAATCATATTGTGTTGGGTTTTTTTTTATAGGTTTCTGGAGAATACTCGATGATAAAAGCAGGGGGTGTTTTAAAAATGATTGATGAGGAAAAAGTAATGCTGGAATCGCTCATGTGTCTGAGGCGTGCTGGGGCTGACATCATCCTCACGTATTTTGCATTACAAGCCGCACGATCCTTGTGTGGTGAAAAGTGAAAAGTGAGACAGTGTATCCACCGAGTTTCTTGACAGACGGCTATTCGTTATTCTATTCTGTTTTTCTTATTATTACTATTATACATCAAAGTAGAGGAGAAGAAAATTTGTGTTTTATTCTATGTTTAATGTCGTTATGTTTAGTATGCTTGTTTAGCTCAAACTGTCTTCATACAATCATGCGATGCAATTTCCACCCCCACTAGATTGGTATTAGTTTGTGCTTCTTTCCTAATCATCATTGTATTGTTTCGTTTTCATCATGATGCATGGGTATTGGGTTGTAGCAGAATAATTTTAATTTGATACGTAATTGTTCGGGTTTGTAACAAGTAGTGTTGGAAATTTTAGAAGATAAATTTGTGAGTTGGTAAATTAGCTTCCTCATACTTAGGTGTGGGAGGAAGAAAGTTTTGTGAGTTTATAAAGTTGCGTTTAGTTATGGAAAAACAGTTTTCATTTTCCGCTTTTCGTTTTCCCTTTTAGTTTTCGTTTTCCGTTTTCAGTTTTCATTGGAAAATTTAGAAAACACATTTAGTTAAAATTAAAAATTATTCATTTTTCATTTTCAGTTTTAGAAAATTAAAAAACGTGTTTAGATGTGTATTTTTCTATCGGTTTTCATTTTTAGAAAACGGTAACGGTGATAGGGTGGGGGGCAGTGGTGGTGTCGATAATGGTGATAGTGGTGGTGATGACGGGGTGTTGGTGTGTGTGTGTGTGTGTGTGTTTGTGGGGGTGGGATTGGGAGTGGGGTCGGTGTGGATAGGTAGGGGTGTGGTGGGTTAGAGGTGTTAAGGTGGGGGTAGGTAGAGGTAGGTGGGAGTGGGTGTGTTAAAATTTTAGAAAAATTTTGGAATTAGAAAAATATGGAAAACAATGATTACCGGTTTTCCAAAAATTTCCAAATTCTTTGTAATTTTACAAAACGGAAAATTTTTGTTTTTCGTGAAAAATTTAGAAAAAATAGACTAACTAAACGTGTTTTCAAAGTTTTCATTTTTCTTGGAATTTTTTTTCGGAAACGACATTTTTCCGTAACTAAACGCATTCTAAGGGTGTATTTGATTGTGAAAAATTGTTTTCATTTTCTAAGAAAATGTTTTCAGAAAATAGAGTTGTGTTTTTATTTTTAATTTTCAATGAAAATTTTAGAAAATGTGTTTGGTTGGAAATGGTGGAGTTTTCATTTTCCATCGTAGAAATTTGGAAAACTTTGGAAAACTGTCTCGTTTTTCTAATTTACATATAACTTGGAAAACTGAAAATTTTCATTTTCTTAGAAAATTTTGAAAAACTGAACGAACCAAATGCGTTTTTAAAATTTGCAGTTTTTCTTGAATTTTTTTTTCTAGAAAACTAAAATTTTTTCCACAACCAAACGCACCATAAGACTTTCTTAGCCTTAAGCATTTTAGAGGGTTTAGTAAAAGATAAGGATGAAACAAGCCCACACACTCGCCTATTTGAGAGAGGATGCGAGATTCTCAAAATCACATTCACAGTATTTGTTTTGCATTTATTGGTTTTATATTGCTCTCTCCCTTTATGATGCAACTTTCTTCATGGTTTTTGAGTATTACCTTTTTGCATTTATCGGTTTTTCTATTGCTCTCTCCTTTCTCCCTTTGGAATTGAATGAATGCTAAATTAAATCTTGGGGTTTTATTATGCGACTTATTGTATGTAGTTATAGTCAAAATCTGTAATCTTTAGGCTGGTTTTTGTTTTTGTTTTTTGTTTTTTTTTTTTTTTAGTTTTTTTGTCTTGTGTTTTAATTCGTCTAATGATAGGGCAGTTTTCTTCTACATTTCTTATAATATCCCAAATTTTGGTATTATTTCTAGACTAAACTTGGTAATTAAATAGTAATAATTGAATTTATTATTAGCGTTGAATCGATAAATAATTTTCAATATTATTTATCGACTTGTTTGCTTCTAACGGTTCGATAATAGTTCAAGATACTAATAATCATATTGTTTGTTATTAAGTTTGAAATACAACAAGTAGAAATATTAATCACTCTAATTGGATGATAATGGTAATGGTCGGTAATTAAACTCTCACATAATTCTCATGCGTCCCGAATGTTGTTTTTGAAAAGCAAAAAATTATAAAACCTTTTAGAATATGAACTAGATTGTTGAACTCAACAAAATGTACTTAAGTTGGAAGTTATATTGTATGTGGTTGTTTACTCGATTTTGGAAAATAAAAATGTTTGTTATATGAAAAAAAAAAAAATCTTTTTGGATTCGAGTATAATACACGTTAAATAAAGAACCAACTGGACTATATAGGTCCTTAGACGTTATTAATACTTGATCTTGCTACTTGCTACCTACGCACTTTGAAAATTTGAGGAAATCACGAGCTAACTTGTTTTGCTTATTTGTGCGTCTTAGTTTTAGATGTCCCCCCTCACATAGAAAAAACTATGAGCAAGAATGTTGAAAGCAAGAAGGGTGAAATAGAAAAAGAAAATATGAAGGTAAATACGATAGGTGCCAAAAGGGAAAGGGAAACAAACAAAATGATGAACTTAGGAGAATGCAATTCTAGGAATTTTTTTTTAAAAAAACGTGGCCTTTAAGAAGTGAGGGGTTGGGATTAGTTGATTCAAAAACGATTTTAAGAATCAGCAACCGAAAGAAAATATAGATTTACAATTACATCTATTTATAAGTCACATGATCAACTAGAACACAACCATATGGTGTAAGAATCAATTACTTCAAGTGTAGATGTCATTTGATGTCGAAGTACACTAATTAAGATTGATTACCTTTATCGGAATCCACACAGAGTTGGAATGGGTGTTGTTAGACAACACTATCAAAAGCTAATCCTTTTGTTCTTCTTTTAGCTGATTGTCGACCACCAAGGGTTCAAGGTTGTAACGCCTTGTTTTCCGTTTAATTATTTTGAAATAGGATTAAAAAATGTATTATATTGATTTAAAAAGATGAACTAATAATTAAAATAACATAACACGATTAATCGTCATAATCAATTGAATGGCTTAAGTGAGATAATAAAATCTTTTAAGGAAATTAAATTAAAAAAGGAATTAATATGATGATTAATTGATTAAATAATTAAATAATGTTTTATAGAATAATAATTATATATATGGTCTTAAAAGAAAATAAAAATATTAAAAGGGACCATTTAGGAATGTGTTGGGAACTTATAATGTAAATATATGGTGTTTAGGGGTTAAATAATTATCTTGGGCAATCTAGAGGGACCTTTTGTGTAAATTCTTGAATTTTGAGCATTGGATGCTCCTCATAATACAACACATGCTACATGCTGGGAAAGTATAACTTATGTTTAAGTTCATTATCGTTATTATGAACCTATAAACAAGATTTATCAGTGATTCAAAGTCGTTATACTGATTGATCTACTTACAGGAGAGGTGTCTAGAATGGTTACGTTGGCTTGGTTGTTGGATTTCAGAAAAGCTATATGCCAAAATGGTCATGCCTCCCAATTGTCCTGCCTGGCTGATCCTTACTTGATAGATCATGAAGTAGACTTTGAGTTAATAATGAATCTAGACTAATAATTAGTCGTAATAAGTATTAGACTAAAATCTAGTAATAATGATACTAGGTTTCGTCGAAGGAAAAGAAAATTGTTAGAAGCGAAGCGCTGCCCGAATCACGAATCATCACTTTAACAAGTGAGTGCATAGTTACTTTCATCTTACACATAGATATGAAATATTTAATATAAAATACGTGCTATGTGCGCATATTATCAGTGTTCTCGATATCTATGTTGGATGAACAAAATATACATGTTTTATTCGATTTAAACTGTATATGTATTTTATACCTATAATTATGATGGGTAAAGATGGGTAGATCATATAGATGACGAAATAAATGATGAGAGGCCTTGATGTTTAAGCTGATTTAGTCATCTAGCAGAGTATAGATGACGACCACAGACTATTCTAGACAGTCTAGTGGAACGCTAGTAGGATTGCAACCTGTTTTACCTTTAAAAAATTCATTTGTGCTAATATGTACGTGTGTGTTTGTTTGGTGCGACGTAGAGAGAGGGATAGAGAGGTCAAGTAAGAGAAAGAGGACCGAAGAAAAAAAGGGTTGGGAGGGGCTGCTAATCATCGGGGTTTCTGGCCGCCAGATTTTATAGCCGGACTACCGCTGTGAGACGTCAGACACCGCCGGAGAAGGTGCAAAGTAGTGCGGTGTCGTTGCTTACCAAATGAACCCTGCAAACTATCGAGAAGCGCTGATCGAATTGCATGCAAATGAGTCTGAAGGGGCCGATATTCTTCTGGTTGGTTTTTTCTTCTGGTTTAAATGCATAAAATAGCAATGTACTTTCATTCACTTGTTTTTTATAGCATCCTACTTTCTTTTCTTCCCTATTACACCATTGTACTTTGAAAGTACATTGGTATTTCTTGCATTTAATTGAGATTGTGTGACACAGGTAAAACCAGGCTTACCTTACTTAGATGTGATAAGGTTGCTCAGAGATAACTCTCCACTTCCAATTGCTGCATATCAGGTACTTTTAGTCAGATCCCATGTTTTCTTTTTTCCATTAAATGAGGGGGAAAATTTGTAAAATCTTATTGTGTTGGGTTTTTATAGGTTTCTGGAGAATACTCGATGATAAAAGCAGGGGGTGTATTAAAAATGATTGATGAGGAAAAAGTAATGCTGGAATCGCTCATGTGTCTGAGGCGTGCTGGGGCTGACATCATCCTCACGTGTTTTGCATTACAAGCGGCACGATCCTTGTGTGGTGAAAAGTGAAAAGTGAGACAGTGTATCCACAGAGTTTCTTGACAGACGGCTATTCGTAATTCTATTCTGTTTTTCTTATTATTACTATTATACATCAAAGTAGAGGAGAAGAAAATTTGTGTTTTATTCCATGTTAATGTAGTTATATTACTGTTGTGTTTAGTATGATTGTTTAGCTCAAACTGTCTTCATACAATCATCCGATGCAATTTCCACCTCCACCTCCCAACAAGGATGATCAAATATTTGGACTACTCAACCCCACTAGATTGGTATTAGTTTGTGCTTCTTTCCTAATCGCCGTTGTATTGTTTTGTTTTGTTTTCATCATGATGCATGGGTATTGGGTTGTAGTAGAATAGTTTTAATTTGATATGTAATTGTTCGGGTTTGTAACAAGTAGTGTTGGAAATTTTAGAAGATAAGTTTGTGAGTTGGTAAATTAGCTTCCTCGTACTTAGGTGTGGGGGGAAGAATGTTTTGTGAGTTTATAAGGCTTTCTTAGCCTTAAGCATTTAGAGGGTTTAGTGAAAGGTAAGGGATGAAACAAGCCCACACACTCGCCTAGTTGAAGAGAGGATGCGAGGTTTTCAAAATCGCATTCGAGTATTTGCTTTGTATTTATTGGTTTTATATTGCTCTCTCCTTTCTCCCTTTATGATGCAACTTTCTTCATGTTTTTTGAGTTTACCTTTTTGCATTTATCGGTTTTTCTATTGCTCTCTCCTTTCTCCCTATGCAATCGGTTTTTCTTTTGCTATTGGAATGAATGTTAACTCAATTAAATATTGGGGTTTTAATATGCGACTTACATCCACTAGAGTGTAAAAACTTTTGAAGACATGAGTTATTGTGTGTAGTTACCGGTCAATATCTGTAATCATTAGGCTAGTTTTTGTTTTTCTTGTCTTGTGTTTTAATTCATCCGATGATAGGACAATTTCTTCTACATTTCTTATAATATTGCATATGTTCGGTATTATTTCTGAACTAAACTTGGTAATTAAGTAGTAATAATTGAATTTATTATTAGCGTCAAATCGATAAATAATTCTCAATATTATTTGTCGAATTGTTTGCTTCTAACGGTTCAATATTAGTTCACGATACTAATAATCAGATTGTTTGTTATTAAGTTTGAAACACGACAAGTAGAAATATTAATCACTCTAATTGGATGACTGTAACGTCCCAATTTTCAAGACCAAAAATAATTTAGGAAACATTTATAAGAAAACATAATTGAGTCGTTTCTTTTTATAAAACAATCATCCCATGTCTCAAAATCAAATCATAAAAATACTAATAAAATCAGAGTACAATCCCATAGATCTCAAAATGCGGAATCCTATGTGAATGTGATGTGCAGCTACTGTGCCGGCTCCTTCCCCCTCGCTGAAGAGGTACCTGAAACAAAACTGAAAACTGTAAGCACAAAGCTTAGTGAGTTCCCCCCATCATACCACATACCATACAAACACATGACATACATACTGCCAGGCATATCTGGGTGCCCGACCTACCCCTTCGGTCCTTTCGACCGGTGACCTTGCCTAGCATATCTGGGTGCTGGCCTACCCCTTCGGTCCTCTCGACCGGTGTCCTTGCCTAGCATATCTGGGTGCTGGCCTACCCCTTCGGT